TAATTAATTACTTTTGAAAATAAGTAATCAGTAAAGTAACGGGATTACTTTTTTGGGGGAGTAATCAGTAATTAGTTACTGATTACTTTTTTCAAGTAACTTGACCAACACTGCTCGGGAGGGGCCATGCTAACACCTGCTGCTCTCTGGCAGCAGCACCATGCTCTCCTTTGTTTTAAATGCACTTTAGACAAACACGCAGCAACACTACACATGAGCAGGAGGAGGGAGGTATGGGGTCTTCACACACCCCCGTTCTCTGCTAGCCATTGGGGCGGGGGGCTTGGGAGGAGATGTTGGCTGTCCGATTGGCCTCCCTGCTGCTGCGGAGCCTGGGACGGTCTGCTTGCCTCCACCCCGGGGGGAAGGGTAACATCTCTTGGGTCTGGGTTCTGTTTCCCCCTCTGGGGGCGAGGGTACCTGGACCCGGGGTATAGAGTATGTTTGGGGAGTGTGATTGTGTGTACATGTCCATTTATGTCAGTCCTTACGTTCGGTGAGTGCTGAGTGTTTGTATATGTGTGCATGAGGGTGGGAACTCATGTTTGTGTCTGTGTGTGCCTGTTTGTCTGTGTCTATATGTCAGGTCGGGTCTTAGACTCCACCTCTCTGGGAACTCCCAGGCCCTCCAAGGCCTATCTCCCCTCACCACACTCCCTGCTGGTGACTGATGCCCTCAGGGGTCGGTGCATTGGTGGTTCTTGGTGTCCGGGGCTGGGCGCTCAGGTATTTACCGGCTCACTCCCGGTGGCTACCTGGCGGGGCCTGGCGCCTGTTGCTCGGTCAGGCCTCCTCCGGGGTGCGGGGGGACCTCGGGCCTCCGGCCTCTGGGCCTGCGGCTCGGTTCACTCTGGCACAGCAGGCTGCCGGCGGAGCCGTTGGGCACGCCGGTGCAGCCCCCTCTAGCTTCTGCTCGGTGGCTACTGGGTGACGCCTCGTCTGGGGATCCTCAGCCCTTCCCATGAGGGTGGCACAGATGCCCCTCCGGTGGTCCTCCTTGGGCTCTCGCACTCTGGGGCCTGGATCTCCTCCATGCCTGTTTCATGCCCTGGGGGACGGGGCTATGGCTCGCTACATCCTCTTGCAGACATTACATGTGGAAACCATTTGAATACAAGCGCGCTGATCCACACAGGTGTGCACACGGGTGTTCATTGTTCGTAGACTTAAATTACACCTTTCTTGGCTGCTACTTCAAAGCACATTGTGCGCTGTCTGTCCTGCGTGCTGCACAACACATTATTTGACCACAAGTGTCTGTGAAGGTTCTCAGTCATCCAGGTCATCGTAGTCAAAGGAGCCTCTGTCAGCAAAGAGGCACAGAAAAGAAGATCAGACACCAGCGAGGGAGGATAAGAAGGACAGATGCAACAACATTGTCATCCCCTATGTAGCCGGTGTATCAGAAAAACTCAGGAGAGTTTTCTCCAAGCATGACATCCCGGTGTATTTCAGACCCAGCAACACGCTCAGACAAAAACTGGTTCACCCGAAAGACAAAACGCCAAAACACAGATTTAACAATGTGGTGTATGCTGTACAGTGCAGCGAGGAATGCCCAGACCTCTACATTGGAGAGACCAAACAGCCACTTCACAAACGAATGGCACAACATAGGAGAGCCACCTCCACAGGACAAGACTCAGCAGTCCATCTGCATCTTAAGGATAAAGGACACTCTTTCGAGGATGCCAATGTTCACATTTTGGACAGAGAGGACAGATGGTTTGTGTACAAACACATCACATGTCAGTTGTCAGCAGAAGTGTAGAGAGAACAAAATGTAAGCGCTGAGAACTTCAGAATCTGAGAGAGTAGAGGAACAGATCAGATTTATTTTGTTTATATCATGTTCAGTCTTTCAAAATTAGAAAAGGCAGAATTTGTGTTGTTCAAACACACTGATTCCACAAAAAGACACAAATGTGAAATTGCCTAGCTAACAGTTACAGAGCTACATGATGATAATTATATGTGAAGACATCTGCTTTTTTAAAATATAGCTCCATGCTTGCATTTACATCTGTGACCATCGGAGAGCAGTAAGCACTCATTAGTCTGTTCCTCTTTACTGATGTCAGTGTTTCTGTCAGTTTAATAATATCTGTGTTCAAATATGTTTCAAATAAGTTCAGTATTCCAACATTGAAATGAACTTTATCATCTCAGCTGAACTGAGCTTCAGAGAAACACTGCATACTGATGTCTGTGAAGCTTTGACAGAAAAACAGTTTAAAACAGCAAGTGATTGAATCCATGAATCTAAAAATGTGTTTGAGTGAAAGAGGCAGACATGTACAGACTGAACTATCTGTTCAACAATCAGAGTGTTAAAGGACACTAACATGACACTCTTTAAACTAAACTACACACAGACACACTGAGGCACCACATGAGACTGTAAATCCAGGATAAAGAGGTTCAGTGAATGTGGTGTGGAAGGTGTGGAGGTGGATCAGAGAGTCAGAGGAGACTATGTAGAAGGACAGAGTGCCAGCAGGACAGTCCACACACACTGCTGCTCTGTTAGAGACAGAGGAGGAGGAGGAGGTGGAGGAGATGGGTGTTTCTCTGTTATTGTGCCACACAGAGGAATAATGATCAGAAGCAAGACTCCAGGGCTGTTTCGTACTCGCTAAGTTAGCTGATAGATTGTTGACGATTTCGCGTGATCTTGATCGTTCGGTTCCCGAAGCTCATCGGACTTGCTGTCATAGCAACAGAGCCGTAAGCGTAAACCTGCTCGGAGCAGTTACTTATGTAAACAGATTAGATCGCGGCACGCAGTATGTCGCTTCATTTATACGAAAGCAACAGCGATAAATAAATAACATCAATGTAACTGAAGATAATGCAGCACTTGATCTTTATTGATGTACACAGATACATAAGGTCATTCTAAAAAGGAAAGTACTATTAACATTCTATTAATGTATGATTATTACAGATGTAATTCATATTTCAGAGTAGTAATTGTAATTACTTCGTGTAATCAAGATGAGACCACGGCTATAAAGCCAAGGTGGATTTGGGAAGCCTGTCGCAGCCATGTCCTGTCCGTTTACGCGAGCAACCCATTGCGGAAGGTGCAAGATTGATAAGGAGAGTCCTCAGAATTCAGCATATATTGCGGGACAGACAGGATCCTTTAGCTCAGCGCGACAGTGTGCTCATTGAGAGATATCGATTTTCCCGTGAGGATATTATTTACTTAACCAACTTGTTGACGAGGGGGTGCAGGACCACCACCTGTCTTTTTTTGCTCTGCCCTTTTCTTGGTTGCTGTTATAAACAAACAAACAGAGTATTCCAGGGTCTCTTTCCAAGAGACGAAAAGCAATATCAGTGATAAATATTACCATTCTATAGAATATTCTTATATTTCACTTTTACTTGTTCCCATGTTCTAGTGGGTCCTGTTGTGGCTCTAATGTGAAAGAGGATATAATATAACAATATAATATAATGTAATATAATATTGGATAATATAGTGTGATATGATAAATCTACCCTACCGCCTACTGGTGTTGGCCAGAGGGCCGATGCCGCGATATGGCAGCCTGGCTTCTGTCAGTCTGCCCCAGGGCAGCTGTGGCTACAACCGTAGCTGCCTCCACCAGTGTGTGAATGTGAGAGTGAATGAATAGTGGCATTGTCATGCGCTTTGGGTGCCTTGAAAAGCACTATATAAATCCAATATATTATTATTATTATTAAATTACTTACAAGTTTAATTTGTCAGCAACTTTCTGCCAGCCCTCTCTCCTTGCTTTTGCAGCCTTTGCAGTGTTCCCTTGCGTTCTGATTTAACTCTGAAACTCCTGAAATCCCTCACTCAGGAGTTCTTGCTCTGCTGCCGAAAAATACCGAGCCGAGCGCGCTCCTTCGACATTTTCGCCGACCAATCAGAGGGTTGCCGATCAATGTTTCTACTATCGATGCGTAGCCCCTTTTACGACACCCAGTGATGTCACATTACTGCGTCCAGCTGTACTAATCATCAACAGAAGGTGTTGAGACGGATTACGAGTCACGTTACGCGATGGTTGATCTTGGATGTGTCATTTGATTTGGATGTATGAGCGAGTACGAAGAACGGCCCAGGACTGATCATTTCCACCAAACACACACTGATCACTCCTTCCTTTCCTTTTGATTCCTCTGTAACTCACTGATATCTAAGCCCTCCTCGTCCACTCGACCTCCCAGTAACAGCGACCAGTCAGACCATCTCTACACAGCAGCTGTTCACAAACATCAAATCTGTCTGGATGATCAGGATATGACTGAACCTCCTGTTGTTGTCAGACAGTTGGAGCTTTGTGTTCACTGTGTTTGTGTCGATTGTGAGTTGACAGGAATCTGATGGAGAGAACAAACACAATCCAGCTGCAGTTATTGATCCATCATCTGTTCATTGATTGACCCTTTGATGATGACTCCTCACATCAGAATGATGAAGATGGTTGAATGTGTGCTGCTTTGTTTTCATGAATCCCATTAAAAACACACTTACACTTCCTCAGACCTCCTGGTCTCAACCATCGGACTCCAGCAGGCTCCACCCTGAAAGGAGGAGGGGGTCAGAGCAGCACAGTCAGCATGCACACATGGACATTACATGACTCTCACACACACACTGTTACACACTGATAAAGGAACAGTCCAACATTTTGACACATAAATGTTTAAACTTCAAAAGAGCAAAACTCATAATCACATCACATTTAATCTCCTTTATTAAGCACGATGTCCAGGGAGCATTGACATGTGCCACAGTCAAGGTCCAACACACTGTGACATTCATGCTGTCAGGAGTGGATGCATGTTAAATGTAAAGACTGGGACTGGGTACAAAAACTGATTCAGTACAGGTAGAGGGCAGCAGCCAGTGCATCACATATTTGGAGCTAATGCAGCGGTCAACACACCACATACTGCTTTCTATGTAAAGGAGCCTTCATTCTCAGATTAGGGTGTTTGTGACCATAAAGTCTGTCTCACAAGGGCAGCCACTGGTCCACGTGAGGATGCCTCCACAGTGGGATGTCTGAGGGTGCAGACATGGGTGAAGTTAGGACCAGGTGCCAGTGGACCTGTGGATCTCTGGAGATAGGAGTTATCGTTTCACTCCACCAAAAGCAGGAGAGAAAGATGTTTATTAATAATCCTTCTTATTATTAAATGCTCTGTAGAGCAAATTTGTTGATGGTAAACAAACATAAATGATTGAAACAGCATCAACCAAACACAATGCTGCACTGCAGGAGGAGGTTGTGATTTGATGCATGTGATGAATATATTTATTTCTTGTTCTCGTAACAGGAAAATTATCTTTTATTTTTGTATATTTATACTAACATAAGTGCATTTAAAGGCTTGTCATCTTGATTTATTTATTCAGAAATGATATTAAACAATAATACAGGGAAACCTGAATTAAATGACAAAATTCTTGGTCATTGATGGTTACAGCTAACAGTGTCTCTGGGACCACTTTTGACAGCATTTGACTGAAGTGCTGGTTGGCTACAGGGCCAACATGAAGGCTCTTTCTGGAGCTCTCAGTGCTGCAACACATATCCTGCAGTGCAGGCTGCAGGGTACCAGGACCAGTGGTTGTTAATGCTACATCCACTTTACAGTCAAAAACACCCACTAGTATGATTTTATCCTTTGAGACCCCATTCAGACATCTACTGTTTAAGTTAGACCAGAATGGGAAAAATGTTCCTATATGTGTGATTGTTCAAATAACACTGGTTTCCAGCATTAAGTAATCAGACAGAGCCAGTTTCTCATCTATCACACTGTTTGTGCTTAACGCATCTATACTCAGTGTCATTTAGCTGTCAGCAAAATGTTCTATATGTTGATTGTTCAAATAACACTGGTTTCCAGCATTAAGTAATCAGACAGAGCCAGTTTCCTCATCTATCAGACACTGTTTGTGGCTGTAACGGCCATCTACATACCTCAGAGTGTCCAGTCTTAGCTGCTCAAGCATCTTCACTCCTGCCTCTCCTGGGTTATTGTAGCTCAGGTCCAGCTCTTTCAGATGGGAAGAACTGGAGCTAAAAGCTGAGACCAGAGACTTGCAACCTTCCTCTGTGACCAGGCAGCCTGACAGCCTGCAGACATGACAAATACTCTTACAGAAGAGAAAAATAGCTAAATGCAAACAGGAAATTGCAGCCAAAAATGAAACAGGAGTTATAAATAGTCATTAGTCACTCCAAACCTTAGATTGTAAACCTCTAAACCTCATCTACTGAACATTTCAAGAACGCTGACCTGAGTGTCTCTGTCACAGTTCTGGGTCGGTTCGACCCAGCATTCGAAGTTTATTATGTTTTGGTTTATTTTTGAATGATCGTTTTGTTACTCTTGTACTTTGTTGATTATGATTATTATTATTGGAAATCTATGTGTCTGTTTATTCATGTTTTAGGAATTGTCCTTCGGATGCGTCTGTATAGTATAGTTCTAGTTCCATGTGTCATTTTCTCTCTCAGTGTCGAGTCTGCAGCTTTGTGTAGTGTTTTCTTGTTTCCTGTTTTATTGTGAAGGTCTGCATCTCATGTGAGCGTGTTCAGTTTTACCTCCCTTGTCTCGTCTCGTTACTGCCAGCTGTGTCCACCACCTGCCCTGTGTTTCTCTGTGTGTATTTAAGTCGCGTCTTCTGTCATTGTAGTTGCTGGTCCGTCTGTGTATCCACCGTGTCTCACTGTGAGAGTATGATCTAGATAAAATATCATCTCTATAGACGTTAAATCATGTGGAGGGTTGATTAATCATCAATAATCAATCAATTAGTCATCATTAACCCTTTAAGACCTACCATAGAACCAAGTCCGCCAGAGCTTATATTATATTTTTACATGCTGTGGAGCCATTTTTGGGAGCATTTCAAGTTGCTATACATCAATACAACCATTATAGCCCAAACTTTAATAATATGTCTGCATTCGGTGCATAGTAATTACATAAATTGCAAAAAAGTGCAATAAACTACAAAAAATTGAAAATGTTTTTGTTTTTTTAACATATATTTCTAGTTAGAGAAATTTAAGAGGCTTATCCCTCAAAACTGTAAATACAAAAAGTTGCACAAACTAGTTTCCCACCACAGGAAATTTATTTTAAGTGTCTTCATAGTTTTATTTTTGAAATACACCAATTTTCATATACTACAGGAAAAACGAAAATAAATATTATAGTGCAAATTTGCAAAATGACAGCATATGCATCACAATAAACTATTTCCAGCAGTGCAATATGAGTCCTAAGCATCCCAGAAACGACACAGAAAGTCATGAAGTCAAACATAACTTTTAAAAACACAAGTATAAGCTCGAGAGTCCACGATGGTAAAAAAAAACTACATTTCCGCAAAATGACGTCACTTCCGGTTTCGGGCAGGTCATGCGGTCATGTGATAGTTCGCGCTGATGGACGTAGGAAGTGTTACAAACAGCTGATCGGATCGGCGAAGCGTGTTTCAGGAATATCATGTTTTTGTTGCTGCAAGTGATTTTTATGCAGTTTTTGCAAAGCTTTATGTGGAAGGAAACTGTGACCTAGGACAAGCTGATGGCATAAGATGTAAGTACAACTCCTCCAGTTTCATATGCAAAAAATATTATTGTGCTAGCTTACGTGGTTGCAGAGCTACCGGGATTTAAAAATAGTTACGCAAAACACAGCGTGTCCGCTCCGATCGGCTGTAAAGGATTAAATAATTAAATGTCATTAATGAATTAAGTTCAAAATACTTAATAAATTAAATACATACATCATTGATTTAACGCCAAGTAATTTCCAAAAAATTCATTTCAAATTCATTGAATTTTAAATGTATTTAATTAATCACTTTTTGACACAGTTAATTATTTATTTAGGAATCTATTTATTTAATTCATTTGGGCCCTTCTAGCCCTGCAGCTGTGCATGTGCTTACATATCCACTGGTTTGTGTCCTACAGGTATTCTCACAGCAGTGCTGCTGAACATTAAATGACCAGCAGCTGTCAGTTCTTCATAATAAGCAGTTAAACGAGGCTTTGTGTGATCTGCCTTTGGGCGAAGCAACTGGCCGGAAAATTGGACACATTCACAGAGCTTTACCACACCATCACTAGACAACAATGGAATTATTTTAATTAAAAACAAATAATCAGAAAGTCTTCTGCCTGGTCTCGTACCTCTGTGTTTCTGTAACATGAATAATGAGCTGAAATCTCCTCACGACACCACCCCATCAGCTCAAAGGTCCCTCGAGTTTACCTGCATGCATCCTGTTCACCTGTCAGCTGTTTAACACCGGCTGCTTATTCAGGAAACACGCCCACATTACCTGGTGACAGTCACAGTTTAATGCGGGCCGCTGTTTGTCAATATAAAAGAATTTAGTTCTAATATTGTGCACACAATTTGCAAATGTACCATAGTTTTAGGCCAATAAAGCACACTGTCGATTTTTGAGAAAATTAAAGGATTTTAAGTTCGTCATATAGTGCGGAAAAATATGATAGCCTGTTTCCTCAGCGCACAGCTGCTGGAGCTTGTGTTTACTCTCAAAGTGTCACGATGTACAAAGGGGACTCACGCGCTGGACTCCAGGGATGATGCACACTAGAAAATTTATTAAAGAACAATGTCCAATGAGTGTATATACCTTTTGCTATGTACAAAAGGTGAGGGGGGCAGGGCTCCGGGGAGAATCCAGGGGACTTAGACGCTCGACTTTCACTGACGCGATCCTCACAACGATCCAGCGAAGAACAGCCGTTGCTTCCTGGCTTAAATATCGTCCACACTGATGAGGCACAGGTGTTTCTTCCTCCGAGGGTGTGGGCCAAGGGCGTGAACCCATAATGAGTTCAGCCCTGGCGAGAGAGAGACCTAGAGAGAGAGAGAGAGAAATGGGAAATGTCAGTCTGGCACGATTCATTCACGGACTGGACCGCTGATATACACCATGAATGTTGGAGCCAAATTAGTCTGGCGTAGACATGTTGATCAGATTCTAGATGCAGAATGTCACGTGGTTCCAGAGCAACCTGAGAGCACACATCTACACCTCAAGATTCAGAAGAGTTTGCCCTCGCTTCACCACCTGAGGTTCAGGGTTTACGTGAAACCACCAATGTTCAAACACCTGAACTTTCCACACAGAGCACTATGGACTCTGACCAAACAGGCAGACGTTACCCTGAGAGAAATCGCAGAGCACCTCAGAGACTGAACTTATAGGTTTCCAGTTCATTTTGTAAGGAAAGCAGTTAAAATGTTTAAGAGGAAACAACCTAACTCTGTGTTGTAAATCACTGAGTAGGTGTCATATTTCAGTTTAAGTACAATTATTGGGTTACGGCATTTACCTGAAAATATCTCGATTGTTTGATACTTAATGTGTTCATCAAAGCTGGATGGGAGGAGCTGTTATGTATTTAGTAAAATCAATTTATATTTTGTGATAAAGTAGAGAACACCAAGTGTGGTGTATGTGCGCATTGATATGCCTGTGCCTTTCCACAACATGGTTAATAAAGTAAGTTACTAACAACCAAACGGGTGTTGTTACTTTACCAGTTAAGTTATAAGAGAGAACATAACAAACTGGTTGAGATCCTGGATTAAAGAGGGAATGGGAAGAGAAGAGGAATACAGAGGACTGATTGGTCGATTTGTGAGGTGGTGTGAGGAGAATCACCTGAAACTGAATGTGGCCAAAACAAAGGTGCTGGTGGTGGACTTTGGCAGAAACAGATCCCTCCTCTGTCTGCACTGGTGGGAATGATGTTGAAATAGTCACATCCTTTAAGTATCTGGGAGTTCATCTGGATCACAGGTTGGAGTGGTCTGCCAACATGGACGCTGCCTACAAAAAGGATCTGAGCCAGCTTTACTTTCTACGAAGGCTCAGATGGTAAATGGACCACCTAGAGGAGGTGATCTGTGACACACTGCTGTCAATCATGGACAATGACTCTCACCCGTCCATGATACACTGGACAATCTGCACAGCAGTTTCAGCAACAGGTTCCTTCAACCCCGCTTTCTGAGGGAACGTTACGTAAATGCAGCTTGTCACTTTGTACACCACAATATATTTGCACACATACTTATCCTTTTATACTGGTATGTATATTTATACCTATATTTCTCCATTTATCTGAATATTTATCTATCATAACTGTTTCTACACTCACTTTATATGAGTGCTTGTTGTTTCTTGTTTATTTGTTGCTATGACAACTCAGTTTCCCTCCTGGATTAATAAAGTTTCTCTGATTCTGAAATACAGTGAGCCATTATATTTGTAGTTTCTAACTAACAATATAAAGGCTCAGCAACCGATAGTGCCACAGCACGTCCCACTGGCACTGAAGGAACTTTGAAACAAAGGACTTTGTAATTGAAGCTTTATTTATACAGGTCGGCTCATTGAGACTCAATGTCTCATTTACAAGAGAGACCTGTTCCAGACAAACATATTAAAATTACAACAATAAAAGAAAAGTTTGTGTAATGTACTCAGTCACATTAAAAACGAGAACAAGTTCCCAGAGATGGTTTCACAAAAACATGTGTACGTCTTTTGAAGTCTGCAAGTGAAATCAACGGAGAGCCTTAAATCCTTCGGTTATGTTTTCCATGAAGACGGAGCAGAAAAGGAGAACGCCTTCTTCCCAAGCTCTGCATGAACTGATGGAACAGTGAATGTAATGATGTCCTGAGACTGCAGGCTGTGACTAAACTGTTTGCCTAACATGTACTCTGATGAATAGGAGGCAGTAACCCAGAAACAGATTTATAGATAAAATGATACTAATGGACCATCCTGTGTAAGACCAATGAGGACCAGTTAACCAGAGAACACAGAGTACAGTGGTGTGTTAAAGGTTTACAGACAGTTATAAATCTTAATGCCCCATGATGGACAAAATCCAACAGATGAAGAGAGCGAGCAGAGTCATTTATATAAATCATGTCACTGTAATCCAGGGCAGGTAAAAAAAAGGTGGCAGCAACAAGCTTTTTCCTGTGAAACATGATCTGTTCCTGGAAGAGAAGCCCAACTTCAGCCTCAGTGTCTTTATTAGATGTTCAATGTGTGGCTTATAGGAACGACTGTCATCAACCACAATACCGAGGTATGTGTACGAGGCCACAGTTTCAATAGAAATACTTTGAGCAGATACAGGAGAAGGAAATAAAGCCGGACCCTCTTTCTGTTTGTGAACAACATGACTTTGGTTTTTTCTACATTTAAAGCCAGTCTGAGCCAGCTGAGACTGAATACTATCAACAGCTGCTGTAATGGTTTGAAAACTATGTTGATGGTATAAAATGAACAGATGCATCTAGATTTTGTGCCACACCGTTGACATAAGTAGCCCAGGACAGAACCCTGTGCACTCGTTTAGTGACATTTAAAAAGCTGGAAGAGAGACCATTGAGCTGAATGCACTGCTGATGTCCAAAAGAACATTAGAGAAGCAGCCAGCTGCTCGGTCTGAAAGGCCTATTTCCAGTAATCTATGACATAAAATGCTGTGGTCAGCAGCTCAGCTCATAAACCAAGGGACTGGGAGCAGCTGCTGCTGAGTGTTGCTGGAGTTCCTGTGCTGTTAGATCCTCATCCTCTCCACGCAGCTTGGAAGTAGGTGAAGTTGTGCCAGAAGAGTTTTTGTTGTGGTCAACAGTGTCAAAGACTTTGATAGATCAATAAAAAGAGCTGCACAGTAGTTCTTTGCATCCAGCGCTTCATAGACGTCTTTGAGAACTTTTATCGAAGCAGCTCCAGTACTGTGCAGTTTCCTAAAACCAGACTGGAAGGGAGATAAAATCCTATTTTCATCCAGATAACTTTGAAGTTGATTATTTACCAGCCTTTGAAGAACCTTAGATAAGACACAGAGTTTGGAAATTGGCCTGTAATTACTAACTGTTGAAGAATCACCAGCTTTCAGTGGGGGAGTACAGAGGCACACTTCCACATCTGTGGTAAAGCCTTCTGTTGTAGAGAAAGATTAAAAAAAGACACTGGCTCAGCTATGATATTTGCAGCCAAGTGCAAGAAGGAAGGAGAACGACTGTCAGGACGAGTTTCTGGTGTTGGGGCTATTCAAAGCCTTACAAACCTCTCTTTGGCTCTGTGGACAAGAGATATTTTATTTTGTATTTTTATGATGACATTTTATAATCAGACCTATCATTGATTAATCATATATCATTGTTGAATCTAATGACAGCATAATCTCTGAATTATATCTATGGTAATCTGAGCAGGATATTAATGTATGCATATTATCATCATTTTAATCAGTCTTAAAGGGTATTCACATCATTGTATGCACACCTCTCGATACTGTGGGTCCAGTTGGGCCTCCTACATTCACTTGCACATAGTCAGGGCTACACAAACATGCACATACAGAGTAAAACACGCACGTTCACATACACACTTATTAAGGAAAGGGAGGTCGTCTCAGGACAGCCTCTGTTGGACTCACAGTCTCACAAAATGCACAACCATATCACACACTTGTTTTCTCTAAAGTAGCATCTGATGTCTATATAAGGAGAACTTTTGGAGTGTGGGGAACTGATATCATTCCAGTAAGGTCTAACTGTGTGACGTCATCATGGGTAATATAAGGATGGAGAGCCTCCGCCCGGCGGAGAATCTGTTGCAAGTTTTCTGCGCAAAGTGTGTAATAAAGATCACTATTTGACACCTGCCTGGACTCAGCCTGCTTTCTTCTCTTACCCAAATCGAACGAATTTTAACAGCTCTCAGCGAAGGCGGTCGCACTTTTCTCCTCTCCTCCTCACCCTTATCTTCCCTGCTTAGCCTCTATGTCCTTGTCTTGTCTGTGTGGATTACTTTCCCTGGAATAGACTCACACGGTTGTTCTCTAAAACCTAAAAGAGAATTATGGATTTGATCAACTGGTCTCTAAATGCTATTGACACCCTTTTCTCAACGAGAAGTCTGGGCTCGGGAGAGCCTGAGTGCCCTGGAGGACTTTCCCTGCCGGATACACGATGGACGGGTGGCAGAACTGGAGGGTCATGTGTCTGGCGGGACTGTCGATCGAGGACGCTGAAGATATCTATCTATTCGGAACCATGATAACAGGGTTTGTGCTGATCGGAGTTGGCTTGGCCCTGGTTTATCGGAGAAATAAGAGAGCGGAACCGGCTGTTCAAACCCCCCAAGGCTGCCCGCTGGAATTGAAGCGATGGGACGAGGCGCGACCTCTCACAACGAACGTAATATGGTCAACACCTTGGAGATGCTTACAGCTGCTGTGAAGGCTCAAAGCAACAACATTGAGCGTATGAGGGATACATCAGAGAGAGGCCTGCTCAAAATGAGACCCTTGAGCGACAGTTGGACGACATCACGGAACGGATCACTGCAGCTGTGAGGTCTCAGAATCAAAAGAATGACAACACCATGGAACAGAAGTTTGATACCATCATGGGGAGGCTCGCGGCTCTCCAACAGGAGATCGAGAGACCAGCATCGGAGTGTTAAAGAGCAGCTGAGACAGTGTCCTTCGGCCTATCAGGCTAAGTAAACAGTCCTCCAGCCAATCCAGGTGTCCTTGCATGGGACGGGAAGAATAGCCGTAACACAGTTGTTATCAGGGAGTGATTGTTCGGCTCCAGCCTTGGGCCTGCAGCTGGCACCGTTATGGGGGTCCGCAATCTCAATGTTGATTTGTAAATTTCCATGCGAGCAGCCCAGGAGAATTTTCAGGCTGCTCTTTAACACTTTAACACAAGCTGCTGCTGCTTCAACCTCTCTGGATCATCAGGACACAGCTCCTCCTCTCTCAGCACACACACCGTCCTGTTTACCATCATCACCACCTGCAGAGAGAAGAAGGAAGAGCAGAGGAGATAAACGAGTGTTTCCAGAGACTCTTCATCAGCTGTCTGTCAGTGATGCAGCACATCCAGTATAAAGAGCAGCAGGGACTTCAGTGCTGGGACTGTACTAGGACTCATTGTTGCTTCACTTTTTCTAATCTTTGGATTTTTATTGAAGTTGCTGAAAATGTTTTTCCCCTCCTAGTTTGAGTTTGGACTTTCATTCATTAGAAGAACCTTGGTGTGTCCACTCTGAGCTCTGTAGGAACCCCAACAACAAGCCCAACAATCCAGATGGACGGTTCCAGCTGTTAACTGGAGGAATTCCATCCAAACATCTGCTCTCACTAAATTCTTCCTCACCTACAGACTGTGTTCTTCACTGCTTTAAACTTGGAAACGAATGCAGTCATTGGTCTGCGTGCTGCTTTGTTCAGAGAGCTGATTGGCTGTTGACAGCGTTTGATCAGAGCGTGTCAGCCGTTATATGGTGACCATAATGGTCAGAAACAGGAAGTGTTTGTGTCCAATCCTGAAGCCTGTCACCATTCTCCTCTCACAGCTTCACTGAGAAGCTGCAGCTTTACTGGAAACACTGGATCTTTGTTTCATACTGACTGTGTTTAGTACAATACTGCTGACAGCACAACCCACTCACTCCATCACTCTACTTACACCAGATTCTCCAGTCTGTAGTCTGGACTCTGCTGAAGATCAGACAGCTGGTTCACATCTGGATCCTTCAGGTTGTTTCCTCTCAGCTCCAGCTCTCTCAGATGGGAGGGGTTGGACTTCAGTGCTGCTGCCAGATAATCACAGCTGATCTCTGACAAACCACAGAGACTCAATCTGTGTAAAAAATGAAAGATGTAAGTTTATTAGACAAAGTGTGAGCTTGAAATCATTCAGTGTTTCATCATCTGTTCAGAGCTGAAGAAGGTTCAGAATGTAGAAGTTTAGAAAATGGAAACTCCAAACAGCTGTTGTTGGCCTTTCTGTGGAGGTTGGCTGTTCTCCCACAGTCCAATGACACCATAACACCATAATTCCCTCCACACTCACCACCAAGCTGGAGCATCTGGGACTCAGCTCATCTATGTGTCAGTGGATCTCCAACTTCCTAACTGGCAGACCACAGGCAGTAAGGATGGGCGGACATGTCTCAGCCTCCACCACTCTCAGCACTGGAGCCCCCCAGGGGTGTGTTCTGAGCCCCCTGCTGTACTCTCTGTACACATATGACTGCGTGGCCACTACCAGCTCCACCACCATCATCAAGTTTGCTGACGACACCGTCGTGGTGGGCCTGATCTCTGATAACAACGAGACGGCCTACCTGAAGGAGATTAGGAATCTGGAGAACTGGTGCCAGAGGAACAACCTCCTTCTAAACGTCAGTAAGACAAAGGAGCTGATAGTGGACTTCAGCACTAAGCAGGAGAGGAACTACCAGACCCCTGTCATCAACGAGTGCCCAGTGGAGAGAGTGGACAGCTTCAAATACCTCGGAGTTCACATCACGCAGGACCTGTCATGGTCCTGTCACATCAACTTGGTGGTGAAAAAGGCCCGTCAGCGTCTCTACCACCTCAGACGCTTGAGAGACTTCCAACTGCCCTCCAAGGTGCTCAGGAACTTTTACTCGTGCACCATAGGGAGCATCCTGACGGGAAACATCTCAACCGGGTTCGGGAACAGCACCATGCAGGACAGACGAGCTCTACAGAGGGTTGTGCGATCAGCTGAGCGCACCATCCGCTCCGAGCTCCCTGACCCGCACTCAATCTACAGCAGGCGGTGCTGGACCAAGGCCAGGAAGATGGTGAAGGACCTCAGCCATCCCAACAACAGACTGTTCTCTCTGTTGAGGTCAGGAAAGCGATTCCGCTCCCTGAAGACCAACACAGAGAGACTGAGGAGGAGCTTCTTCCCGCAGGCGATACGGTCTCTCAATCACAATCACACAACCACACAGTACTGACCCACACATATAGTTCTTACACACACACTGGACATTCTGGACTTTGTTTTCACTTCATCACTTAAATCACTGCTGCTGTTATTGTGTATATATTTATTTATACTTCTTGTGTATTTTGTTCATACATTCTTATATAGTTCTATATATTGTGTATTTTGTTGTACAGTTATTTTATTTTCAATTTAATTTATATATTTTATCTTATTCTTTCCCAGTGTGTTGTACAGTTATTTCATTTTTAACCTTAATTTATATTTTATTCCTTCCTAGTTAAATTTACCCTTTTTAATTTTTCATATTTATTTCCTATCTTATTCATAGCCTTTTCCTTTTTTGTTTTCTTTAGGTCACGAGCAGTTGTCCAAGCATTTCACTACATATCGTACTGTGTATGACTGTGTATGTGACAAATAAAATTTGAATTTGAATTTGAAATGCTGCTTAGGTTCATTGGTGCTTCTAAATTGGCTGTAGGTGTGGATGTGAGAGAGTGCTTCTCTGTCTCTCTCTGTTGGCCCTGTGATGGACTGCTCACCTGTGCAGGTGGACCACGCCTCTTCCCTATGACAGCTAGGGCACAGGCTGCAGCCCTGTGAGCCTAAGCTGAATAAACAGTTAGCAAAAATGATCCATAGATGGCCTGAAATCCCCCAGTTAGCAGTTTGGTAGATAGCTATGACATGTGTTACACCCCGGCCTAGGCAACCGGCGTGCAACACAGGAAAAATAAAAGGAAAAAAAAAAAAAAAACACAAAAAAACCCCCACTAAGGCTCTCCACCAAAAACCCAAAACGAAAGTATCGACAAATCTATCTACAGCTATTTACAACAAACTATTTACAACACGGGGAGATCGCAACCATGACACACTGAAACACAGGGTTTAAATACATAGAGGGAGCAATCAGGAAATGGACAACAAGGGGAAACACAGCTGGGGCAACTCAGAAGTGACGAGACAGGGAAACGTAAACTGAACACACTAAGATAACACAGACTTTCAAAGTAAAACAGGAAACGCATAACAGTCACGCCGAAAAAAAACACACTGACAACACTGAAACGTAACAGTTCCCCCCACCCAAAAATCAAACATTTAACACCCAAGTGAAATGTTTGATTCGCCAACGCAGAGGCCTGGAAAATGGCCGGCAGACGACACATGAGGCTGATGAGGCTGGACGGGCAACTCGGGCCCTCCAGCAGACGACGAAGGCTGGAGCGGTCCCTCGGACCCTCCAGCGAAGACGACGCACAGCTCACTAGCTGCAAACACCACGCACAGCTCACTAGCTGCAAACACCACGCACAGCTCACTAGCTGCAAAGGCTGGAGCGGCCCCACGGACCCTCCAGCAGACGACGAAGGCTGGGGCGGTCCCTCGGACCCCCAGCGAAGGCAGATGAAGGCTGGAGCGGTCCCTCGGACCCTCCAGCGAAGGCGGATGAAGGCTGGAGCGGCCCCACGGACCCTCCAGCGGAGGCGGATGGAGGCTGGAGCGGCCCCACGGACCCTCCAGCATATCCCGGACGAGCCCCCATATGTTACACCCCGGCCTAGGCAACCGGCGTGCAACACAGGAAAAATAAAAATAAGGAAAAAAACACACAAAAAAACCCCACTAAGGCTCTCCACCAAAAACCCAAAACGAAAGTATCGACAAATCTATCTACAGCTATTTACAACAAACTATTTACAACAAACTATTTACAACACAGGGAAGATCGCGACCATGACACACTGAAACACAGGGTTTAAATACATAGAGGGAGCAATCAGGAAATGGACAACAAGAGGGAAACACAGCTGGGGCAACTCAGAAGTGACGAGACAGGGAAACGTAAACTGAACACACTAAGATAACACAGACTTTCAAAGTAAAACAGGAAACACATAACAGTCACGCCAAAAACAACACACTGACAACACTGAAACGTAACACATGCTAATCCCATCCAGCAGCTGTATTCTACCTGTAAGCTGATCCCTGCTGAGCCAAAGCACTTTTTCATATACAAATTACAACCTTTAATAGAAACCTATTGGTCAGCATCTTATTAGCCTGCTGTTAGCTTCATTCCACAGAAAACTGAGAGAAACTAACAGAGTTGATAAAGAACAAAGAGAAATGTGCTGATTTAAAGCCTTTGAAGTGCTTCAGATGATCTCTGTCCACTTCTGTCCACTCATTCATTCATGTAAGCTTTCTAATGCAGCTTTGATCTTCACAGTCTGCTTCATGAAACTCATTCTAACCCTGAATGTCAGAGTGTTCCTCCTTCTCTTTCCCATCATTCATGTTGGCAGTGGAGGAGATTTGGATGTTGGACTGTGTTTTGGATGATGTGTGTATGTTTGTGTTGGACTGCTGTCTGTAAAGCAAACGCACATTTTGCTTTGGATTTCAGTGTCAGACAGACTTTAAGGGCTAATGAAGAGTTGGAGAGTTTCACAGTGAATTATCCAGTGGAGGATTTTTCTTCTTCTTTGAAGGTTTGAAATGTGAACATTGTTCTGCTGCAGTCAATGGACTAAACCAGAGAAGAAGAAAACAGACTTTACCATGAAGATCCTCAGTGTGGATCAGTATAATATCAGCCTGATGTCTGCAGTTTAGTGTCAGCACAACTTTCACATCATATTCATCTCAGCACAACTAAAACATGCTGACTGACCTCAGAGTTTCAAGTCCACATCCGGGACTCTCCAGGAAACCACACAGGTGCTTCACTCCTGAATCCTGCAGGTTGTTGTTGGTCGAAGACCAGGAGTCATTACTCAGGTTCAGTTCTCTCAGATGGGAGGGGTTGGACTTCAGTGCTGCTGCCAGATAATCACAGCTGATCTCTGACAAACCACAGTCCCTCAATCTGTACAAAGAATGAAAGATATAAGTTTATTAGACAAAGTGTGAGCTTGAAATCATTCAGTGTTTCACCATCTGTTCAGAACTGAAGAAGGTTCAGAATGTAGAAGTTTAGAAAATGGAAACTCCGAACAGCTGAAGCCAACAGGAAGCAGCTTCAAACAAACACAACAAGAGAAAAAACTCTGAATGTTTCACATTAAAGTCGTACATTTCTCATAAAAACAGGACAAAGACTTGAAAAAGTCGTGTTTTTCCTTCCAGGAACCACAAGGCTTCACTTTTAAAGGTGAAGTGTGAAAGAAATGGACATATTTGAAGTCCAACACCTTTTTCCAGTCACATTATTAAAGCAGACAAACTACAAGCTCATTTTCATTCCAACAAGTCATCTTCTGACCTGGACTAACAACACTGGTCTCTATGTGCAGCTGGCTGTGAGACCAGTGCTCAGGGAGCGTCTACAAAGTGCAACACTGAAAGAACATCACACACTCATTTGCTTCCAGCACTTTCACACAAACATCTACTGTCATTATTGTCACCAAACTCTGTGGATCCTTTATTGCAAATTCAAATGGGATCAAATGGTCAGAGAAAAGAGGCTTATGAGGAAATACGATGAAATGTTGTGTATTAGCAGCAAGTTATTGAATCATTTTCCTCAGAAACCAAACAAAATGATTGACAAACATGTTTTTACAAACTCAGTGTTGGACTTGGATCAGCAGGATAAGCTGATGTTTAAAGGCATTTGAGTCCCGCTGTATGAGAGTCCAGTTATTACTCGATATTTATGGATGATTACCACCTGCTGCTCTTCCACCTCAGACACTTCACACCTCCTCTATTCACCCTGCTCACTCCCCCCCACCCCCAACTACAGCATCCAATACACAATCAACACAAGGCTCCAGCCTGTCTCTCTCAACCACCCAGGTTAGGAGGGAACTGAGGAGGATTAATGGCAAGAAGGCAGCGGGCCCAGATGGCATCAGCTCGAGGGTCGTCAGGTCCTGCGCGGACCAACTGTGTGGGGTGATGGAGCACCTCTTCAACCTGAGCCTGAGGTTGGGAAGAGTCCCACAGCTCTGGAAAACCTCCTGTGTTGTACCAGTGCCAAAGACTTCACGCCCCAAGGACCTCAACAGCTACAGGCCGGTGGCTCTGACATCCCACCTGATGAAGACCCTGGAGCGGTTGGTCCTGGCTCAGCTTCGGCCCCTAATAAGCTCATCACTGGACCCACTTCAGTTTGCCTACCAGCCTGGCATTGGAGCGGATGATGCCGTCATTCACCTCCTACATCGTTCCCTCGCTCACCTGGAGACCGCTGGAAGCACTGTGAGAATCATGTTCTTTGATTTCTCCAGTGCCTTCAACACCATTCTTCCCTCGGTTCTAAAGGACAAGCTGGTGAACTCTGGAGTGGACCATCACCTTACTACCTGGATTTTGGACTACCTCACCGACCGACCACAGTATGTGAGGACTCAGGGCTGTGTGTCGGACAGGGTCGTCTGCAGTATGGGGCCCCACAGGGAACGGTTCTGGCTCCGTTCCTCTTCACCATCTACACTGCAGACTTCTCCCACAATTCCACCCAGTGCTTCCTGCAGAAGTTCTCTGATGACTCTGCAATAGTCGGCCTCATCACTGATGGGGACGACAAGGAGTACAGAGGTCTGACCCAAGACTTTGTTGACTGGTGCCAGCTGAACTACCTCCAGATCAACGCCAGTAAAACCAAGGAACTGGTGGTAGACTTCCGCAGGCACAAGCATTCTCCACTGCAACCACTGAACATCCAAGGTATGGACATTGAGGCTGTGGACAGCTACAGGTACCTTGGTGTTCATCTGAACAATAGACTGGACTGGACTCATAACTCAGACGCCCTCTACAGGAAAGGGCAGAGCAGGCTGTACCTGCTGCGGAGACTCAGGTCATTTGGAGTGGAGGGCCCACTCCTGAAGACCTTCTATGACTCTGTTGTGGCTTCTGCTATCTTTTATGGTGTGGTCTGCTGGGGCGGCAGCATCTCTGCTGGGGACTGAACAGGGTGATCCGAAGGGCCAGCTCTGTTCTAGGATGCCCTCTGGACCCAGTGGAGGTGGTGAGTGACAGGAGAATGGTGGCTAAGCTGTCATCACTGTTGGACAACATCTCCCACCCCATGCAGCAGACTGTGACAGCACTGAGCAGCTCCTTCAGTGGGAGACTGCGGCACCCACGGTGTGGGACGGAGAGATTTCGCAGGTCTTTCCTCCCCACTGCTGTCAGACTCCATAATAAAGACTTTAACTGATCAAACACACACATCCACACATGTGCAATAATACTAAGTGCAATAATCTTTTCTGTCATCGTTGTATTTTTACTCAGTTGTATATAGCATTCGTATTCTATTTTTATCTTATTGTATATTTTTATTCTATTTTATTCTACTGTATATAGTATATTATTTTATTCTATTCTGTACAGTTGTGTACTGTATTTATTCTTATTGTATCCTAATTTTTGCCTCATAACTTTTGCACTGTCCACTTCCTGCTGTGACAAAACAAATTTCCCACGTGTGGGACTAATAAAGGTTATCTTATCTTATCTTATCTTATCTGATGTTCTTTCAGTGTTGCACTTTGTAGACGCTCCCGGAGCCTCACAGCCAGCTGCACATAGAGACCAGCTGACATTACCCAGCATTAGAGGATAAAACAGTAAATGACAGCAGCTAAACACACAAAGATGGAAACACAGAGCGTGGATCCTTCACTCGACGGCACAGACACGCCGTCGGGGCTGAAAGTGGACAGCTCAAAGATCCCGAAGCTGCAGATTTCATCTGTCTCCAACCAAAACTGACTGAACCAGCAGCAGAAGAAGATCCAAACTACGCTTTACGTTTGATGAACATCGTCATGAATTCTCTCTGACTTTGACGTTTACTTCCTGCACAGCTCTCTCTCTCTCAGTGTACTTCAAGAACAGTTTACCTTCAAAAATCTGTTTCCTGCATTATTCACTGCTTATTACGCACCAGTCTGCTGTTGTGTTCACTGCTGTCGGCCTCCGAAAACAAAGCCTCATTTCTGCTGTTCAATACTGAAGAAATTTAAACCTTTTAAAATGATGACAGATTACAAACTCTCAGCTGTGTCTGTAATCAAACCTCTGTAACTTTGCTTCCCTTCAGCAGCATCAGCTCATGTTCACATGTTGATTCATGGTTTGCTTCAGTTTTTGATGGACTGCAGAATATTTTGAAGGTTATCTGCTATAAAAAGCCAGAACAGGAAAATCTGCTTCATGTGTTTCTGTTTGATCCTCAGTGACTTTGACACAAAGGCCTCTGCTGTGATGATCACACCTCTGATCAAGTCTCACAGTGTCAGCTTTGTTTTTATACATATGGATATGTGCTGATAAATGATCAGAATTATAATATTTCCCACTGTCTGCTGTGTGCCGTGACCTTTGACCTGCTAAAGACAGTCAGCTGTGGATTATTCATTGTTGTGTCTGATACTTAGAACTGTGAGGAAGAACACTACACAGTTAATCAGGGTCCCCTCTCTCTGAATCAGGAAAGGTGGGCAGGCCGCGTGTGGGCCGCGGGCCATACATTGAGTCTCACTGTTTGAAATGTGAACATTGTTCTGCTGCAGTCAATGGACTAAACCAGAGAAGAAGAAAACAGACTTTACCATGAAGATCCTCAGTGTGGATCAGTATAATATCAGCCTGATGTCTGCAGTTTAGTGTCAGCACAACTTTCACATCATATTCATCTCAGCACAACTAAAACATGCTGACTGACCCCAGAGTTTCAAGTCCACATCCTGGACTCTCCAGGAAACCACACAGATGCTTCACTCCTGAATCCTGAAGCTTGTTGTTGTACAGGTCCAGCTGTCTCAGATGGGAGGGGTTGGACTTCAGTGCTGCTGCCAGATAATCACAGCTGATCTCTGACAAGCCACAGCCCCACAATCTGTATAAAGAATGAAAGATGTAAGTTTATTAGACAAAGTGTGAGCTTGAAATCATTCAGTGTTTCATCACCTGTTCAGAGCTGAAGAAGGTTCAGAATGTAGAAGTTTAGAAAATGGAAACTCCAAACAGCTGAAGCCAACAGGAAGCAGCTTCAAACAAACACAACAAGAGAAAAAACTCTGAATGTTTCACATTAAAGTCGTACATTTCTCATAAAAACAGGACAAAGACTTGAAAAAGTCGTGTTTTTCCGTTCCAGGAACCACAAGGCTTCACTTTTAAAGGTGAAGTGTGAAAGAAATGGACATATTTGAAGTCCAACACCTTTTTCCAGTCACATTATTAAAGCAGACAAACTACAAGCTCATTTTCATTCCAACAAGTCATCTCCTGACCTGGACTAACAACACTGGTCTCTATGTGCAGCTGGCTGTGAGACCAGTGCTCAGGGAGCGTCTACAAAGGGCAACACTGAAAGAACATCACACACTCATTTGCTTCCAGCACTTTCACACAAACATCTACTGTCATTATTGTCACCAAACTCTGTGGATCCTTTATTGCAAATTCAAATGGGATCAAATGGTCAGAGAAAAGAGGCTTATGAGGAAATATGATGAAATGTTGTGTATTAGCAGCAAGTTATTGAATCATTTTCCTCAGAAACCAAACAAAATGATTGACAAAGATGTTTTTACAAACTCAGTGTTGGACTTGGATCAGCAGGATAAGCTGATGTTTAAAGGCATTTGAGTCTCGCTGTATGAGAGTCCAGTTATTACTCAATATTTATGGATGATGTTCTTTCAGTGTTGCACTTTGTAGACGCTCCCTGAGCCTCACAGTCAGCTGCACATGGACCAGCTGACATTACCCAGCATTAGAGGCGGGTGTAAAAAAATGGATTTTCCTATTTAAATCGTTTTAATTTGAATAAAGCGATGTTGATTCATTCAATCCTGAATCGATTTTAATATAAATGTATTTTGCCAGAATCTCAGGTTAAAGCTCCCAAAAGTATTTCAACAACAACCGAACAGATAAAACAGTAAATGAGAGCAGCTAAACACACAAAGATGGAAACACAGAGCGTGGATCGTTCACTCGACGGCACGTACACGGACACGCCGTTGGGGCTGAAAGTGGACAGCTCACAGATCCTATTACATTACATAATTACATAATTACATTACATAATGGGGAAGGAGACAATATTTAAAGCAGACAAACTACAAGCTCATTTTCATTCCAACAAGTCATCTTCTGACCTGGACTAACAACACTGGTCTCTATGTGCAGCTGGCTGTGAGACCAGTGCTCAGGGAGCGTCTACAAAGTGCAACACTGAAAGAACATCACACACTCATTTGCTTCCATCATCCAACCTGAAGAGGAAACAGAGACGCCTCCCCTTCAAAGTAAAAGCTGCTCCTTTTGGACACAGTATCAAAGAAAGTCTACAGTATAACATAGAAAAGACAGAACAAAGTTTTGGTTGTTTTTAAATTGTGCAGAAGTGAAAGTACACTAAGCTCAATTATGTGACAGACATTTCATCCCATGTCAGTTTGGCCTCATCCTGGGCCGGATTATCCAGCACACACTCTGACCACAGGCCCAGGGCCACACACAGCTGGGCTCCATCCAAGAGACAGGAAACAAACCAACACAAAACATAAACAGCACCATGTGATCTTCTTACATCTTCAAGACAAACATAGTAAAAACATGAGCATATTTGTTTCCTGATAAAATGATGTGACAGGTAGAACAGAGTAAAGTGGTGGTGTTACAGCCTTTCTCCCCTCTGCTGCCGAGGCTGTTAGTCTCTCCCAAACTCAGCTACAGGACTTCCAAATGAATGAAAGCAGCAGAAGTGGCTTTACAAATGAAAGAGGAAGAGGAGAAGAAGAGGAGAGGGAGGCCACTCTGACCATCACTCCAGCTGAAAACATCACACTTCCATTAAAGTTGGTGAGAAAATGTTGAGCAGGATGAGCTGCTGGCTAATCTGGAGGCTGTAGCAGCAGCTCACAGTCACAGTGGATTTCCACTCATGAAAAAGCTCTGGCTGCTTCATTTCTCATCTCATATCAGAGACTTTAATGCTTCACTGAAGCTGTACTGTGATGCTTCCATATTCCAGTGAGGCCTCCATAATGATTTCAGCTGTTCTGTACACACACTGTGTGCCCTGTATGGCTCAAAGTCTCTGCAGCCTGTTTTTATCTGCTATCATCAGATCTTCATCATCCTCATTCACATCCCTCACACACTCTACAGCCTCATCAGCACTGACTTCATCTTCACTGACTGATGGAGCACAACATGAACCTGTGGAGGCTGAAACACTGTCCTGTCAAACATCTCCCCGTCACCACTCCACTTCTGTCAGCCTTTAAATGAACCCTGCTCAAGTCTGTCACTTCTGTTTGGAGCCAAAAGGAAAAACTGTTGTTCAGTCGTTTGGAAAGACAACATTTCTGAAAGCACTCAAACTTCTTCACATTTGTCTTCAGACACATCCTGAACATTTAGGAACTAAACATTTAGGAAGACCTGAAATATAGAAAAACTACAACAGCCTCAGTCAGTGAACTCACCTCAGAGTCTCCAGTCGACAGTTTGGACTCTCCAGTCCAGCACACAGAAGCTTCACACCTGAATGCTGCAGCTTGTTCCAACTCATATCCAGCTCTGTCAGATGGGAGGGGTTGGACTTCAGAGCTGAGGCTACAACTTCACAGTGAGTCTCTGAGAGTCCACATTGAATCAGTCTGTCATAAGAGAAAATATAAAATGTGTTATTATAAAAGAAGAAAATCTACATTATTAACAGACTGAATGTATATGAAGACAAAACAGAATGACGTCATAATCGGATGAACATCTGCTCTTCATCTCCTCTTACTGTGTTTGACATGACACAATGATTCAGTCTCTCTCAGACCTGAAGACTTTTAATGAGAATCTTTGTTTGGCTTTAATCTGCAGATGAAGGAGGAAGATGGTGTCACATTTAGGCTTCCATAATGTCCACAGTCTGTCACTGAGATCTGATCCAGAGTCAGAGTGAAGACACACATTTGGACTGTTTCCTGTTTTGACTCCAGAACATTTTGAATGAGTTCAGCTCAGTGTAGAGTTCCAGCTGGAAAGATGATCTCTGTTTGCTACCTGCTGTCAGGTATGACTGTTCACGTCCACACGCAGGAAAAACCTGCTGACTGTTACCAAACGGAGCAGAAATCTCATCACTGGACAATAATGATGAATGAACTCAGAGCTGCTGATATCAGATCTGATTTCAGGGGAACTAAACACAGAAATTATTGGCTCATTTGAGCTTTCTGAGCCATTATCTGCTGGTGTGTCGCTAGTTGGCAGAAAATGATTTGTATTCCTGTTCAGGGCTTCAGTGTTTATGAGTCCAGATCCAGGTGACAGCAAGTCAAAATGATGTTACCTGTCTGTGTCCAGCAGCAGCCTGTATTCACTTTGAATATTGTTATAACCTGACATGGATCAGTTTGTCTTTGATTGGTATGTAAATGTCACTGTTTCCATTGGACCTGAGTGACGTACAAAGACAGAGAGGGAGAGAAAGGAGAGAGAGGATGGAGACAGCAAAGAGAGAGCAAACACAAACAGGTGAGAGTGGACAGGTGACCAAGGTCAGCAACCAATCAGAGAGCTTCTGTTTGACCCACAGTCACTGATGATGACTGCACATAACCAAGCAGTGTGTTACTCTGATATCAAATATGGATCCTGCTCTTATAATAATGATCATCAGATGATATTATTGTGTTATTTTGTAGCTGAATACGATGTTTGTGTGATTATCAGTGAAAGAAGCAGTGAGGAGGATGGAGAGAGAGAGAGGACAGAGGGTGAAGTTAGAAACACTAAAATGATTTTTCATGGATTTCATGGATGATTTGATGATTTCCAGCAGGACACTTAAACATGTCAGTGGACGTCCTAAAGAACATATTCACTGATATGAAACGTGTCATTGAACAGGATTAATATCAGTGGAAACATGGTGGAAACAGCTGTGACTGCATGGATGTGACACACTTCAAATCTGTTCTCCACTCTTGGATTTGGGATCCATGGAGCTGCTGCTGAGTCTGTACAATAAAGGAATGGTGTGGAAGGTTGCAGCGTACGGACACAAACACTTTGTGCTTACAATCTGATTTTATTTTCAACATTAAACTACTAACCTACGCTGATCAATGATGTTAGTGATCACATCTGGACTCACCCAGCCTTTCTGCAGTTCCTCACAGCTGGAATCAGTCTCTGTCGTCCCCGTTCTGATGTGTTGTATTTCTGCAGGTCCAACTCATCCAGAACCTCCTCTGACATCTGCAGCATGAAGGCCAGAGCTGAGCACTGGATCTCAGAGAGTTCCTTCTCTGATCTGTTCTCTGACTTCAGGAACTCTTGGATCTCCTGATATAATGAGAGGTGGTTCATCTCCATCAGACAGTGGAAGATGTTGATGCTTCTGTCAGGAGAGACTTCATCACTGTTCATCTTCTTCAGGTTGTTGATGACTCTCTGGATGGTTCCTGGACTGATCTCTGTCTGACCCAGCAGACCTCCTAAGAGTCTCTGGTTGGACTCCAGACAGAGGCCATGAAGGAAGCGAACAAACAGGTCCAGGTGGCCATTTTTACTCTGGAGGGATTTCTCCATGGCTCGTTTAAGGAAATCATCCAGAGAGGACTTGTTGTATTTTTGTCCCAAGAAGTTCTTCAGCACCTTTGTCTTCCTGCTGGTGTGACAGTGGAACATGTAGACTGCAGCCAGAAACTCCTGAATGCTCAGATGAACAAAACAGTAGACTGGTTTCTGGAAGATCACACACTCTCTTTTGAAGATCTCTGTACAAACTCCTGAGTACACTGAGGCCTCTGTCACATCCAGACCACACTGCTCCAGGTCTTCTTGGTAGAACATGATGTTTCCTTTCTCCAGATGTTCAAACGCCAGCCTCCCCAGCTTCAGAAGAACTTCCCTGTCAGCCTCCGTCAGCTCCTGTGGACTCGTCTCACGTCCCTCATGGTACTTGTTCTTCTTCTTCTTTGTCTGAACCAGCAGGAAGTGTGAGTACATGTCAGTCAGGGTCTTGGGCAGCTCTCCTCTCTGCTCTGTAGTCAACATGTGCTCCAGAACTGTAGCAGTGATCCAGCAGAAGACTGGGATACTACACATGATGTGGAGGCTCCTGGATGTCTTCATGTGGGAGATGATTCTGCTGGACAGCTCTTCATCACTGAATCTCCTCCTGAAGTACTCCTCCTTCTGGGCGTCAGTGAAGCCTCGTACTTCTGTTAGCCTGTCAACACATGTAGGAGGGATCTGATTGGCTGCTGCGGGTCGGGAAGTTATCCAGACGAGAGCCGAGGGAAGCAGATTCCCCTGGATGAGGTTTGTCAGCAGCTGGCTGACTGATGACTTCTGTGTGACATCAGACAGCAGCTTCCTGTTGGTGAAATCCAATGAAAGTCTGCTTTCATCCAGGCCGTCAAAGATGAACAAAAGCTGAGAGACAGCCAGCTTCTCTGCTGTGACCTTCTGTAATGTTGGATGGAAAACATGGAGCAGCTCCAGAAGACTGTACTGCTCATCTCTGATCAGGTTCAGCTCCCTGAATGAAAGCAGAACCACCACACTGACATGTTGGTTCTCCAAGCCCTCTGCCCAGTCCAGAGTGAACTTCTGCACTGAGAAGGTTTTTCCAACACCAGCCACGCCGTTGGTCAGAACCACTCTGATGGGTCTCTGTTGGTCAGGTAAGGCTTTAAAGATGTCCTGGCACCTGATTGGAGCGTCATGGAGGACGTCCATCTTGGAAGCTGTCTCCAGCTGCCACACCTCATGTTGGGTATGAACCTCTTCACTCTGTCCCTCTGTGATGTAGAGCTCAGTGTAGATGGTGTTCAGGAGGGTTCTACTTCCTGTTTCATCACTTCCTTCAGTCACACGTTCACATCTCCTCCTCAGACTGATCTTATGTTCATCTAAAACCTCCTGCAGACCAACATCTGCTGAAAGAAAGAAAAACAATGAGACTAAAGAGAAAGAAAACTCTTCAATGTCTGAACAACACAAGAAGTCCAGTTTTCAGAAATGAGTCCATCAGCAGACAGATGTTCAGTCTTACTTTGTACACAGCTGCTCTGACTGGCTGTCTGCAGCCCAGCTCTGCTTCTGGATCTTTCTCCACACTGTGCAGAAGCTCTGATGGTGACACAGAAAAGTCACAGTGGAGATACTTCTGTCCACCTTTGATTAGACTCATTATAAAAAGGAAAACAAAGTTTGAACACAGTCATGTTTCCAGTTCACTGACTTACATTTATTCCATGGACACTCACTCTAACCTGAACCACAGCTACAACCCAACATCGTTGAGGCCTCATCTCCTCCTTTCCTGACTGTAGAGGTTAAATATGCAACAACCAACAAATAAAAGAATTTGGTTCATTTCAAAGAAATTCACACGGTGACCAAGTAAAGTAACCGTAGTAAAGGAGCCAACATCCCGTTGATGGTGGGATTATTTGAAAGATTTGCTTTAGTCACCAAATGCAGTTGAACCACCCGTGGATCCATGTTTGACCATTCTACCACTCTGAGCTCTGCTTTTTAATCATTTTATTATTATCATCATTCATTTATTCATTCTTTGGAGGGGGGCTATTTCCTAATGCCGCCCTAATAAGCTGATGTTCAAGGGGAAATATAACAGAAACTCTTTCAGTGTTATTCATTAATAAATTAACAGATAAACTGTGAAGAAGAAAAAACTGAGATTTAAAGGAGAGAGTGAGAAACTTGATCATCCATCATCATAATACATGTTTATCAGTATCTGCTGTGACCATACTGCAGTAATAACTACAAGTCTACATTTCTGTGACTGTTGATCAATCACAGCAGGAATCTGAGCTCATCTCTGCACACAGAGCAGCTTCAGCTCTGGGATAAACTGCTCGCTTCACGTCCTTCTCAGCTCACAGACACTCATCCTGATAGTTTCCTTTAACATTTGATGGTATAATTCATCTGAGTTTACACTTTATCTGCATGAATACAGAAAAACAGACCCAAACACCAGAAACCATCAGTTTCACCATGTAGAATATATTGTTGTTTCCTTGCTTTTAATTCAGAGAAAAACTCTGATTTGGATTTTCTCTGTTCTCTTTGCCACAGCCCATCCCAGCAGCAGCTGAAGCAGCTGACTGTCACAACACTGAATAACACTTTAGGAGGAATTTCAGAGGTCAGTAAAGCTCCAGTCTCAACATCAGTTAATTAATCATAGTTCATCATAAATGTTAACCTGGCTGGCACACATGTTAATGTTAGCCATTTAAATATTAGCAGTTAGCTGAGGCCACAAGAAGAAGAGGCCCTAGAAGAACAATGGATGATAAGATTAGATTTTCAAGACTAGGCAGAGACGTGTTTTCCTTTACTGTCTCTTACAGAGGAGGGAGCAGATACCAGACGAGGTCACGGAGGTACGGGGAGGATTCGCAGCAGACAGCAAGACTGCCACGTCCATGCGAGAGAGCGATGGCTACGATAATCAGGCCCCATCTTATCTTAATGACCCTGTAGTACCATATCACCCTATTAGAGCGCTTCGCTCTCACACTGCAGGCCTACTTGTTGTTCCTAGAGTATTTAAAAGTAGAATGGGAGGCAGAGCCTTCAGCTTTCTGGCCCCTCTTCTGTGGAACCAGCTTCCAGTTTGGATTCAGGAGACAGACACTATCTGTACTTTCAAGATTAGGCTTCAAACTTTCTTCTTACTTAACGATTAAGTCCCTGTATTCCACCATTATATGGAAATCAGCCATTATAACTTGTGTCAAATCTACTTGTACCTCATAGTTTTCTAAGCACACAGAGAGCAGTAAACCTCAGAGCAGCAGCACATCAGACTGTGCAAAAAATCTAGAAGAGAAAATATTTTGACCCATTTCTAAATGATTCTTGTGACCATGCTGCACCACAACACCTGATCTCTATTTTCCAGACCTCTTCAATCCCACTTTAATACTTGACTAAACTCATTTTCCTGTTTAGGTGTTGAGGCAAAGCCGCCCATCTACAATGCAGGCAACAGCAAATTGAGCTATTTTTTATTCCCTTTGAGTTTTTTCTACTTTTGTGCTACAAAATGTTCAAGCTGATTAAATTTATTAGAATAAAAGTTCAGATAATTTTCTCATATTAATGTTGGAGCTAGAAATTCAGGTAACTTTGCACAAAAACTGGCAGAAATTTCCTTCAAAGATGGAGTTTTTACTTTAATACTGTGAGTACATTTCAGAGCCTGTACTCTTTTACCTTTAATTGAGTAAAGAAGTTGAATCAGTATTTCAGCTTTAAGAGGGTATTTTAACACAAACATCAGTCCTTCTACTTAAGTATGTTTGACACTTTGTTTACGCCTAATTTAACTTTACTGTTAACGAGTTTTCATGTTTCTGTAATCCACCAGTGTGCTCATGCTTTTTTAAGTGAAAACATATTTTTAATGATCAAATATAATTATTTTTGTTATTTGTGGATTTTAAATGTCCTTGACAGAGGCAGATGATGATCATTATCCTGCACTGTGGTCTCAGGTTTGGTCGAGCCAGCACAAAGAATGGCTATGTTGAACTTCCTCCTGGGATCTACACTAAGAAGTGAGTCCAACATTAGCAGGGTCTCTTTCCTTTATCTGGACTCACTTTAGCATTCACAGTCACGTGAAGCTTGTTATTAACTCGATAAGTCAACCCAGGGTTTCAGCTGAGCGCTCACATGAAACACATGGTGTTGGCAGCATCTGATCAATCATATTCATGGAGACGTGTATCAGCAACAGAGCAGCTGAGTTTGCAGAAGGAAGTCAAACTAAACCACAGGAACAATATGAGGAGATTACACACATAATAAAATACTAGCAGTAACACAGCTGCTGCAGACAAATCAGTCGTGTGATTGTGTGTGAGAGGAGAAGGACTGTAAAGGAGTTTGGTGTTAAAAGCTCTGTATGAATGTGGGAGCATTTGAAGGGCTTTAAAAAGGCCAATATAAAATAAAAGGCAGCAAAATTGCTGAGTGTGAAAGTCACCAGACTTATCAGACCTCTGTGATTAAGACCTGTTGTCAGGTTCGACGGTGCCCCGACCGGCGACCTGTGTGTGTGTGTGTTTGTTCTCCCGCTCTGTTTTTGTCTCCGTTGTAGTTGTTACGCGGTTGCGTAGCAACGGGAGATGTCCGACCCGGAAGTTCCGCCACTCTGAGTGGTCCCACCTGCAACTGATTCCTCGCCAGCTGCTGCCAATCATCCACCATTGTGACAGAACTATTTAATGATGTGGCTGAGTGACAGACAGCGCTGGAGTATTCCACCAAGCCGGGTAGTGACTCGAATTCAGCGAGTGTTAGACAAACGTTTGATAGCGGAGGGAGGCTAACCGCATCTGTTTGCCTTTTTTCCAGGCTACGAGTGAGACGGAGATACGAGAGGAGAGACGTCACTGTTTACGAAAGTCGTATGGACACACGAGGGGAGCACGGAAGGGACTTAGCACTATGGATTACTTTGGATTTGCTTCACTGTAAATAAAGACACTGTTCAATCTTAACGAGCGATCCGCGTCTGGGTTCTCTTACTCATCACTCCCGTAACAGAATACTCCAGCCACTTACATGGACCCAGCGGACGCCGCTCCGATTCTGCGAGAACTCTCGATTCAACGTGAGATGTTGGAACGCCATGAAAAAATGATGAAACATGTTGTTGAAGAACAAACTGTGTTACGGCAGCTGGTTGCTGAATTAAAAGGGATTTTGCTAACTCCCCCTGGGGCTGCAGCTAATGCTCCGTCGCCCGGGCCGTCTCTCAGCACAGCCGCGGCTACTCCTCTGCCTCCTTCCCCTCCCACACTGCAGCGCGAGCACCCGCTGCCGGCCCCTGAGAAGTTTAGTGGGGATCTGGATAAGAGCCGCGGGTTCTTAACACAATGTTCGTTCATTTTTAGAGAACAGCCTCGGTCTTATTTCTCAGATGGAGCCAAGGTGGGGTTAATGGTGGAATCAATGACTGGACGCGCTTTACAATGGGCCCAGGCCGTGGTAAGCATGCAACCTGCTATCTCTTATGAAGATTTTTTGTGCAAATTTCGTTGTGTTTTTGACAAAGGCTCCAGCGCCGACAGCGCAGCACATCGCATGTTTTCCCTGAAACAAGGATGGAGGAGTGTAGCGGACTTCTCGATTGACTTCTGGATTTTGGCCGAGGAGACCGGCTGGCAAGAAAATGCACTACGAGGGGCTTTCATAAACGGCCTGAACGAAAATCTAAAACGTGAGTTGGCCTCAAGAGAACTGCCTAAGTCGCTCAGTGCTTTGGTGAATATGTGCATTCAGTTGGATGAGCATAGGCGTGAGTTTGGACGGCGACCAGCGGGCGGCAGCAAAACCTCGGCAGGGCCCTCTCTCGAGTGGAGACGGGAGTGGGAGGAACAGCC